CTGACCAGCAGCCTGGACTTTCCCAAGTAGAGCCAACTGAAAGACATCACTGCAGATGAAAGCGTGACTTTGCTTGGACACGATTAATGCAAATGATAAGGTGTCAAGTCAATCAGCCAAGTCACTGCAGCTAGTACAAGAATCCACCTGCAGTAAGAAGAGCACTGAGACCACCGACACTGTATCCCAAACTGTACTTTTCACCCACTACAGTTCTACAACCCATACCGACCCCCCCCCCCACTTACTACTGAGGAATTATGCCCTAATTCCAGGCCAGTTCTCACAAAGAATGTCAGAGTGGCTCAGATGGTAGAAGCCCTGCCCTACACGTACTGGGTCAGGTGACTAGCTGACTGGGACTGGGATTCCTAAAGCGAAAATAGAGTATTGAGAAAAATGCTGCGGAGGACTTAGTTGGCCAGGGTGCTCCTGGCTCCCAGCAACCCGCATCTTTTCCTGTGGCCTCCCTGGCGTTTGCAGGGGCACGGGGCTGCGGTGCATGAAACGTGTTCAGAGGCGAGTGGCTTCGAAGGTGGAGTCTGCCATTGTCTCCCCACTCTCCCCCGTGTGCCGTCGTGGGGTTCATAGTGGCGCAAAGACATAAAAAAAAACACACACAACTAACAATTCCACATTGGTTTGAGACTAAAAGAAAAAAATATTTGGTGAGTCTAAATAAAAAAGGAATTCATGCACACCTGGAAGATGTTCCTTTGTGGCTTTTTTTAAACAGATCATGGAGTCCAGGAATTACTAATAAAGTAGAACTATATGTAAGTGAATAATAACTTCACCACGGAAACATGCAGCACAATGACTGGGAATCTGATGTATCAGGGCAGTCACATCCTTCACAAACTATTAATACCTACTGTAACACCAAATTAACAAAATCAAAACAGAATAAAAAGGGACCGAATAAAAGGATGTTCTTTTTTTCCTGTCCTGAATTTAACAATGCTGCTTATTAATTCCAGCTCTGTCTGACTGATCGCTTTTGCTTTAACACTAATGCAGTTTGCTTACATAGAGAAAAACATTTTATGTATGGCCTGGGGGCACCTATCAAAGTCTCTTCTCTGCTGACCCCTTGCACTACTGTCATCTCTGTTGACAGACTCTTGCCTGTTTCTCCTCGACTCCCTCTCCTATAGCCTGCGTTGTCTCTGTGGGTCACTTTTGCTCACGACGGAAGGAAGCAAACTTCCCCTGCGGCCACTGGGTGCCGTGAAAACAGGGAAAGCCTCCTGTAACACAAAGGTCTATCCTCTTGCTCTGACAACAGCACAAAAACCGCAGATATCCAAATGACAAAAAGAAAGCATTCTCATACAGTCGCCAAAGCTAGCCAAGCACGGACAGACGAAGAAGGAAATAGAATTGCCTTAACCACGTCCTTCAATAAGATGACACACTTCAACTGCATTGCCAGCTTAAGCTGCTCAACACATAAAACCAATGACAAGGTACAGACCCTCTGCCTTTGAGGTAGTGCACATTGCTTTAGCTTTTGCCGTCTTACAGAGTCTGCAGCTTGAGACAGCTTAATATTGTTTGCTTTATCTTATAAAGCCAGCTGGTAACACTGGTAATGGGAATACAGAAACCAAATGCCTTTGTTTCTTTATTTCATTTTCTTTCTGTGCAGCTAAATTCTGTCACTTTGCAAAGGGGTCCCTAAGTGAATAAAAACGGAATAAGGCCGAGGAGCCCGATCGAATCTGACTGTGGAGCACGGGGCATGCCGCTTGCTCTGTGTGGCCAGGAACCATCACACTCTCTTGCTTTGCCAATTAGAGGAGAGAGCTGGGGGACTGGCCAGCGACCCCTGACCCTGCACCCAGGGTCACCACACAGGAGACGCCAAAGCAGGACGTGAGCTAATGCAGAGGAATGCAAAACTGAGTTTTTAAAATAAAATATCAAAAACATTTTACAGCTCAAGCATTTGGTTCTTTTGAAATAAGGGTGGGACAACTTTTATGCTGTTTTTTTTATAAAAAGGTCCTTAGAGTTCCTGCTTTAAGTCACTGAATAGGCCAACTCCCTGGCAAACTCATGAAGCCTCCTGATAATACGCATCACGCGAGAAAAACCCTCAAATATCTGTAAAACCACACTAAAACTACTAATCTAGCAAAAGATGTTTGTTTAGTAAAACAGAGAAAAAATGGGTTAGGCGGCAAATCCTGATAGACTGTTGCTTTATGTTGCTGTTTTCTGAATGGTACAAGGAAGAGCCTGATTGTTCCAGCCTTCTCTCGGCCACTGAGATGGGTTAATGCCTTCATCTTCCTTCCCATAAGCACCTGTGTGCAAGGCGCATTAACACGCTGGCTGACATGAAACGCTGCTCCACTCCCCATCTCCCACTTCACACATCTTTTAAAGGATTAAGTGCAACCATTTTATAATCTCTTGTACCGTGTAAAACGGGTTTTAACATTCTCTATTTTTAGATTTGAACAAAAACATGCACACTCCGCTCCACTGTTTAAGGAGGCAAGAAAAAAAATCCCCTCCTTTTTCTTGCCATCCCTGGGGACCAGTGGAGAACAGATCTGCTTTACTCAGTCATGAGAATGCAAGCATTCATCAAACAGTGGCTTGATAATTTTACCAGGGTAATATTGTTTTGTTTGTTTTTACAAAACTGTGGGCACAATACAACCTTGACCTTGAAGGTGTCACTTATGAGTCTCTGATGTGGCAAAAGATGAGGTAAAAATTGTTCAAGATTATTTTATTTTTTTTGCCCTGAAATGATTCTAACAAGGAAAACAAGCTTCTCGCCTGGCATGAGTGACAGTTTTAAAAATACAGTATGTTGTACTATTTAATTGTACTTCAGGAGTGCAAAATGTACCCATCTGCTGGATTCTGCTCCCAAACTAGTATCAGAACACAGTCTTGGAGCTCTCGTGTGCTTTATGGATCTATTTACTGTACTCTGTTTTGTTTGCTCTTTCCTAAAACACAATCAATGTAGACCAGACTGTTCTCTTTCATAGACTCAAGGCTCCTTCTCCCTGGATACTCAGACTTAAGGAATGGTACCACTGAGAGGAGTTACTTAGTGTCCTTGATCTACAGCACTATATATACCTCCCCTCCCTGTCTACTCCACCACAAAGAGCTTTAATGAGATGTCAGAACCAATAACAGTTTCTCACGCCTCCCATCACCATCCTGTCCACGCACTCGGAGCCTTTGTTTAAACCTGACAAGAGGCTTCTGTGCAATTCCCTTCCATCTCTCGAAAAAAAAAAACCTCTGCTGAAGCCTGCCGAGAAATCAATTTGCTTCGGCCAGACTCTCTTCTGCTTCCTCGCACCGAGGAAGAAAATGACAAAACCGCGCGTGTCAAGTGGGCAACAACTTTGTTCCAGGGCTAATCTCACGGGCTACAGGCGTGCACAGGCATTGCTGAGCTCACATCCACCTCGGCATGTTCATCTATCCCTGAAGTCAAGAGTAAGGACCAGGGAGAACAGGGAAACCTCACCAGAAAAATCCCACAGCACAGCGTGGAGCACTTCCCACTCCCTAAGGGATGAAAGGCCAGTCAGCATTCGGACGGGATCAATGTGCTTTCATCTCTCATATCCACACAGAGAGACACTCGCCCGAGACAAACGCAGTGTGTAACTTAACATAATCTGGAAGAGAATGAGCAAAAATTAAAAGTGCGAGCTAAATTGAAAGAAAAGCTTGGAAAAAGCTGGCTGCCATGGTCACACAGGGATGGGAGATACCCGTTTCCATAGCGATGTTGAGTGGCTTAACGCCTATCAGTCAGACCGCTGGCTTCACTCACCTGTTCTAGTTAAGTTCTTATCAAAACAGCCAGACAGCTACTGGAAATGAGGACCAGCAGGACGTCTGAGTTATTCCCCATTTAACATTCAGCTGCTGCTACATTCACACTACTGTAGTCTGTATCATTACGCTTTTGTCACTTACAATTCTTTTGTATTTAAATAAAGTATTTGGGGCCCGACTACATTTAGCTGAAAATGTCTACAAATGCATAGGTAATGACGTTTGAAGCTTTTCTAGGAAGAAAGGTTTATGGAAATTCAACAGGAAAAAAAACAGGTAACCCACGGAGTAATCTGAAACACTCTGCGATAATGCAACTCCAGTTCATCTGAGAGATTAAATAGTAACACAAAGGCATTTATTTTAGAAATGAAATATTAACGCCACTATACAATTTCGGCAAGGGATGACAGTCTCTTGGGTTGCAGAGACAGTAATGGTTATGAATGTTGCTCCTCTTCTCAGCAGTCACAGGTACTGTACTTGGGAGAGCTTGAATGAGCTCCGTGCAGGGAGGGAGAACCCCCCCCCCAACAAAAGACCCTCCATCACCCCCCTCCTTTTTAATGAAATAGTTACAACATCGCCATTTGAAATAGCAAGAGGAAATAGAAAGAAAGACCTAACAATGCGGATGAGGCTTTTTTTTTTTAGCCGGATGCTTTAGACAGATTACACTTAGCCTGATTTTTTAGTAATCACTTGCAATGTTAAAAGTGGAGCAAAAAATTGCCATCAAGGAACTGTTTGGGTGTAGAGCACGGCAATCGTGCTATTCAGAGTTTCTACCAGTGGAAGACAGCTAGAATTTTGATTGTGCAAAGATCTGCAAGCGTCTTTAAAGACATTTTATTACTGTACGTGTGATATCTCCTCCCTAGGTACCTGCGCTGCCATGTGAATGCTTCATGACTCACGTACATCATGTACAGACAGGTATTAAAATGCAAACAAACAACATCATTCATGTGTTTCATCGCTCCCTGTACACGTCTCTGTTGGTGCGTGTTCAGGTGTGGATTGCCTTGTTAGGAAAGTCACGGCCCTGCACTGCTCCTGACACAGTGTGTGGCACAGGGCGGTGACGGTCTGCCACCCCATGGGGGGGCCTCTACTCAGAAAAAGCTGGGAGCTCAGATTATCGTCTAAGAAAGCCAGCATGCGAGTCTGCTTACCAGGCATGGCGTGCACCAGGTCCCCGCAGACCACCATGAAGCGCGGCCGGGGGCTCAGTCCGCTGACCGCCCGCGCCGCCTGCCGCGTCAGCCGGACCTCCTCGGACCACTCGTCCCCCCCGCCGTCGCAGTCCCCCACCGACCAGGCCTTCATGAGCCCCAGCTGGGGGTCCGCGGCCTGAATGAAGCAGAAGGGTCCCTTCCACTCGCCCTGCTCCTCTGGGGAGGATGAAAGAAAGGGG